TGCTGGTGAGACTCTTGGAGAATGGAAAATATACTAAAAGGCTGGAAAAGAACGTAGCTCCTATCTTTAAAAAGGGGCAAAGGATGTGTTGAGGAATGTTAGCCCTATTGATTTAACTATAATTCTTGGAAAAATTCTTCAACAAATAACCAAAGAAGCTAGTTACAAACGTCTGGAAAATAACAAATAAATGGGTAACTTGAACCTGTCCAGATCAAATTTGTCAGACCGATCTAATTTTTTTCTACAACAGGTTAGTAAGTGTTGTGAATAGGGGAGAAAAAGCAAGTACTGCTTATCTTGACTTTAGCAAGGCTTCTGACACTACCTGATTGTGATACTATTAAGAGAGATACAAAGCGGCTTTGATAACTAATTCAGAAAAAATTTCTGTCAGTATGGGAGGAGAGTGAGAGGGTTCAATGGGTCTGTCCCCCAAGTGTTACAGATCAAAGGGACTGCTGTTCACACAGGAGGAGGTATTTAAGTTTTAAGCAGTGGGAGAAAATCCATTCAGATTGTAAAAACCTCCAAGGGAGCAAAGGCAGAGGCATCAGGGCTTTTCACTCTTTGCTCTCTACCACAGAATCACAGAAACATGAGAAATGTTCATTAGAAGGGATGCCTGTAGGACATCAAGTCCAATCTTGAGTCTACTGCCCACAATAGATCAGGTCAGCTTTGGTTTTGTCTGCATGAGAATTACTGTAGGAATTCATTGCATTTTATAGTTTTACAGCCTTACAAAATAAACAGATGTATTATTTTTCTGTGTTGATTTATACCCTGAGCAGCAAAGCAAGGAAGAAGTATCAAAGAATAGCTTCACTCACACTTTCATCGTTTCTCAGTTTGGGGAAAAGAGTCTTGTTTTGACAATCAAGCCAAATAATCTTAGTAATCAATAGTAAATAAAGGAAGTGTTTAACTCTGATTTCAAATAACCTAATTTTGGTCCTCCAAGTCTGAGAACCAGCACATGGAATTCAGTGCAGAAATACTGAATGCCAAGTAAAGGATGAACTGTCACCAGTGAAATGGGACTATTCTCAAGTCAGAGAAGACAAATTTGTAACAGTCTCTGTAAGAGATTTAAAATATGACAATTTTTATGACTGGCTGCCTTTTTGTTCAAGAAGATTTCTGAGAAGGAAAATTGTATAGAAAATTAAAATTATCATTCCAATTTACATAGTCCAGCATTTTATCTACCTAATGATTAATAGTTTCCCCTAGATGTAATACTAAGATATTAATACATATTATTTCCCTCAGATTTTGTTTATCTACAGAAAATCAAATCCAATTTAAATGGAAAGCCCAACATTAAACTTTCAATATGGAGCAATGAAGCATCTTTAACAACAGGTCTTTTATGTTACTCTTACCTACCTTAAGCTCATAAAGTAACCAGAGAGGCCTCCGAACTGTCAATTTTCCATGCACTTGGAAAAAACAAGCTTTGCTCCTTTTAAGGCCTAACTGCTCGCTCTCCCAGAAATTTACCTCTATCACAATTCTGCCATTAACAGGTGTGAGAGAGAATAGATGGAGAACTTTGGTGAATCCCGCATCTGCTTTTTGAAAAAGGCAACAGAAGCAGCACAGAAGGAAGTAAGAAAGATAATTGCTGGCTTGAACTACATTTTACTTGTGGGCAAAAGGCCAGCTTACACGAGGCAGAATATACAGGACCAACTTATTGGAATTCAAGGGTGGGCCTCCCTTCTTGTCCGGAGCCAGCTGTAAACCAGCAGCCCATAGCATCACAATCAGGCACTGAGTTTTGTCAAGGAATGCTGATATGTACAGAAACAGCTTCGGCGGCTTCGGCTGCACCCCTGCCTAGCAAAATGACAGTCAATCTCCAATTCCAGATGACAAGAACTGGAGAAAAACTTAAAACAAATGGTGACCTTTCAAAAGATTAATTTGTTTACCAACAAAATGTTCTACGTTTGTCATCTGAGATGGGGGTGACCTTCACATTCCCATTTCTAGGTTGAAAGGATGCTGACTATAGTCATCTGTTAAGTTAACTCTATCTCACCAATTATTTCCTTTTTATTTTTAGTGACAAGATGATTTTATTAATTCCCTGTGCTGCTTACTATGATTACATACCATAATACAAATGCAACAAGCTTATTTTGAATTACTGTAGTGTAACATCGATTTGTTTAAGTCTCATTCTGCTACCACTGCCAAATTATGCTTTGACTGTAATTATAGCCATATGCATAGGTTTAAAATACAATCAGGTTTTGAGGATCAAAAGACCTGTTTTTCTTCTACACCTTCTTCTAGTCACTTGAAATGAAAAGAATTGCCCTGCCTTGACTTACTTTATAATTTTGGAAATGAATAGACCTTCAGTGATAAGCTTTAGTGATTAGCATGATGCAAATACTGAATAAAGAATGAATAACTGAGGATATGATTAGAATGGTTGTGCTCAAATAAGTTAGCTTAAAAAAACCCCCACCACAGCACAGAATCACTGCCATCACCATTAGAGCCACACTATATAAGATGCAACTCATAAAGGCTAGAAATCATCACCATATTAAATTCTACCTCATGAATAAATTAAAAGGTTCCTAAGTTTACAGTATAATATACATTTATAAGAAAACAAGGACCAAAAAGTGCCAGTATAATTCTATAAAAGAGCAGTAGTCTATGAAAATGAAAGGTCTAGTTGTGAATCTTTTCTACATTGCGGCAGTACGTTAGAATTATTTTTGCTGCAATTCAGATTACTATTTGTTTTGCTGGATACTCCATGGGAACTATACATATTTAATAATTATCTCCTCCTCATTTTTCATTTGTTATCCAGATGTAGGCTACAAAATAAAGCGATGCCCAGCCTGCCCACAGTGTTTCTAACAGAACTAAATTCCTCATTTCAAGATAACTTCAGAACTTTACATAGGATGAAGCATTAGTGCTTATCAGACCCAAAAGGTACAAAAGGGCAATAGTTAATTGTTCTTACTTTCTGTCATAAAATCCAGTGTCAGCAACTTTGTAATATCAAAAGAGCAAGAAAAGAAGACATTTTTCATGAAACAATGAGATCCTTACTAATAATTTTTCAAACTACTCAAATGGCAGAATAATAAAAAGTCCATGTAGATTTGTGCCTGACCTATCCGGTCACCTCAAAACCAGTGTGTTCCCAATCTCATCACATCTCGAAATGCTCGGGTCACCTTGAAAACTCAGATGCTGAGGATTCTTGAAAAAAACCTGAATGCAGATAACTAAGCAATTAGTTTTTAATTTACTTCAATGAGATTCCTTCTGCCACTGATTTTTTTTTGAGAGATAATCTTTGAACCTATGTACATATGTAGGGCATGTACACGGTTACGTGCGCGTGTGTGTGCCCGCGTGTGTGCGTACAAACATTGCCCTCTAATGGCTGATTAGTAAAACCAGGGTAGGTAGCACCTATCTTAATTATTGTAATTTAATTTATATTTTTTTCAAAACTAAGGACCATATAATTTTAGACCTGCAACTACACGTCCGTTTATTTTACTTACTATTGGTGCTCTATAACTATAATTTGTCTAAATGCTAGGAAGATCACATTTAACGGACCATATAATTTTAGACCTGCAACTACACATCTGTTTATTTTAGTTACTATTGCTGCTCTATAATTTGTCTAAATGCTAGTAAGATCACATTTAACAAAAATGCCTTGATTCACAATCTCATTAGTGGATTTTTGCAAATCTAATTGCAATATTTTACCCCCAGTGAAGCCAGAATATTTGAAAATATAGATTGTGTCATGGGATTCAAAACCTTCTAGAATAAATTAGAGATAGGAAATACCTACTTGGTTTTTTCAGCCCATCTCCCTGTCATAAACAGTTCTGTAGCAACTGTAAATACGTATCAGAGAATTGACTAATTTACACTAAATGTTTGTAATTTAAGTCAACGTTAAGAAGTTCTCTCTGATCAGTAGGTTTCAGTGAGAGTGGTAAAACACATGGCTCTCTGCAGTAGTATAATATTCCTCTCTGTGAGTGTTTTAGAGTGGTTCTAAAAAGCTATTAGCCATGATGCTTTCTTCTAATTAACTCTACATCACAGGGTTAGACAAATCACCTCTTAGTCTGGGCAACAGCTTTCAAAAATCATTTTTTATAAGTGGCAGCTTACAACTGTGCCATTCACAGATTCTGTTTATGTTGTTTAAAACAAGATACCCTAGACTGTCTTTTACAGCACTAGGCTTGCTGCATAATGATTCTATTACATAAATTAAATTGTAGAAGAGCATCCTTCTGTGAGACCATTGGGCATATTCTTTCATGTGGACCACCGTGCTGTGCTAAATTTGTGAACATAACTGATCTTTGGAGGGATGCCCGGGCCTATTAAATTTTTTAAAAAGCATACTTTGCAGAAAGCATCATCTTCACATTCGTTTGTTTAAGAGGAGCAGCGGTTGCAAAACACAAATTTGGAAGAATCAAAACTTAATTTTACACAACTTGGACATTACACAACTTGGAAAAATAGAGAGGGATGATTTGATGATACAAGTCCGGGGACTCTGAGGAGAGTTTTATGGAAGTGCTCAGTCTCAGCTTAGGTTGATAATTGTTTTGTACTAAAGAAAACAGCTCAACTAGAAATAAAAGAAAGTCTGTGCTTCAGCATAACTTTGTAGCTTGACAGTGAGGGCACTTGGCATCTAGAAGACATGGAAAAGAGGGATCTGAATCTGTCCCTCACATTGCAAAGTAAGTGCTTCCAACACAGAGCTAAGAAATAAAACCCAATATTCCATCCCAAACCATGTCAGAAAAGTAAGATGGAAACACCACCTAAATTCTAGGATTCTGATTCTCTTTCAGTATCACGCTTATTGAGGTATTTTCACTCATTCTTTTTTTTTTTTTCAATTTAGATCTGATATGTGTTAACTTCAACAGTGAAAAGTAATGCCCATAAGATAATGAGTTACTTACAGGATCAGATTTTTTCTTAGTTATAAGTGGCAGCTTGGTCTCACAGTTCTGCAGCTTTAAACCAGCTTTATTATTGATGTTCTCTGGGTCAAGCATAATTTTCATATCCATTTCCAGCTGATGCTAAAATATATAATATGCATATTCTTAAAATAACTGTATTGGGACATAGATATTTATAAGCAGGAACTGGCTAGCATTCATAAATTTGCAAAATTATAATAAAAAATCATGTTATTTGACTATCTGCACAGACAACTTAGCAAGACACACAACTACTGCCCACCTATATGCTTTTGCCAAAATTTGTTCAATTAATTTCATTACAAACTCTGAAATTTCCCAAGTTGTGCATCTTTGAGTTAAACTCTGAGTAGAAAGGACAATCAGGTTTGACTCACTTGATTAACATGGGTAATTTGTGAATACCATTTACCTGTGTTATAACAAATGCTTCGTACACCTCCTATCTATTGGGAGGCTGTTACCTTCTTCCCCCAGAAGATGATGAGTCCAACGTTTGCCAGAGACTTAAATTCAGAAATCATTGACCTGATGGACCAGAACAGCTTCTTTGGATCCATTATGGCCCATTGACTCCATGCAGATAGAGCACTTGTTTTTAAGTAAATGAGGAAATAAAAAAATCCTTGGAGTTAATGTGCTGTGTTACCTGCATGGAACAGATTCAACTATTTCGCTAATAAAAATTATTATTATTTAAACCCCAATGGACAGAAAAAGACTTTTAAAGTTTCATCTTGTTATAAAAAGTATCTAAAGTATCTATAAAAGCCAGTAACCCCATACACTTTGTCTAGAGGAGAAGTTTCTTAAGCTGAAGACATTTTGGTTCATCTTAATGCATGTGCTTTAGTTTACACCTGGATCTGTATCAAGTGTAGTAGTATCTCTCAATACTTTTATTGCAATAACATTGTTAACTAGATGCTGCATCAAACAGGGGTTATTTTCCAACCAACGCCGAGTGAGGAAGAATCCTTAAATGGCAGAAATTAATGTATCACCAGAGAAGCCAAAAGAACTAAGGTAATCGAGTGAAGCTGGGGCCCTGGCAGTGTATGAGGTTAATTCCCATTTCATGGAGGCAGGAATACAAAAAGTTCCTTTACATTGTAACATCCAACTAAACCTGTTTATACAACTAGAACTCTCTGCTGATGCTTCTATTCTGTAAACGTAAAAAATAAATTTATGAGAATTCTAGTCTTTGACATACTAAATATGCCATAAAAAGTCTAAGAATCATTAGAGGTATATTTAAACTATTAAACAATTGGATTACTTTGTGAAAGCACTAAAAATGGTTTCATTTATTTATCTGCACAATATATTCTCTTCTTTTGATAGTAATTACAAGCAGATGTATCAACGAGATGCTCATTTAGATTTGGGTTTGTAAGAACAAAAGTTATTATCCAAGCCAATTACTCTTTTACCCACATGGCTGCACAGAGACAGAAAGTTCAATTTTCACCTCATCAGTGATTTTGTGGTATTTATTTTATTACTATAACACACCACTGTACAGAAAGGAAACTGCTTGTGCTATTAAACAAGAATTGGGGGAAAATTGAGTACCTTCTCAATTAAAATAAGAGATGATTCACAGTGCAGACTCCCCACTCAGACTGATGGTGAAATGATCAATGCTGGAGCGGCAGATTCCACTCAGCACAAGAATGGAAATGCTTAATAAAAAAAAATCAAATCAAACCTGATAAAAGTCTCTCTCTCAGCTTAAATGTATGGCAAGTGACAATTCTACATTTGTAGGAGCTGATACAGATGGTATCATGGTTCTCTTCCATCTACATTATCCACCAATCTGTATTATCCAAAGTCTAAAATTTAAGCTATCTTGAACCATCTTGATGTAGAACAAGAAAAAGATGAGAACAGCAGGGCAAATATTGCATTATTACCAATATAATGCTCAACAAGAATGAGAATTATTGTGCTCAATCATAAACATGAAGTATACTGGAGTATATGGAACAGGTTGAAGTGTTCAGTACAGTTAAGTTCAGTACAGTTAAATCTTGTTCTACTTTGATACAAAAGCCATTTCAGAGTGGAGAGCATTTTTATCATGTAGTAAAGCCAACAAATCTGATTCGCCATGTAAATCTGTTTTGCAGATGCATGTGGTGCATAGTTTCTAAGATAGTCCAATTCTTCTATAAATGCACCACAATATATTAATCTGTGAAACAATCTGTACTATCGGTAACTAAATCACTTCCCATGTCTAGCTATTTATGTTATTTGCATATTCTAGAGGTCCCGAGAAACATCTTTCATTCATATCTTTAACTCTATTCATGAGAGGATATTAACTTCTACTGTGTATTCAGGATGTCACAGAAAGTATCAACTTTTAGAAAAAAGCAAACAACAGAAAAACCCCAAACAAAGCTGCATAAGCATCAGTTCAGCGGTTTTAAATTAGGCATTTTTTAAACAAAAATAAAAAATAATTGAACTTATGCACCTACCAGTTATGGATAACAATGTCTTTTCAGCCATTGTTATTTAGAGGCTTTACAATTACTGCATGAGGAAGACACCTCTTTATGGTTCTCAAGCTTTATGAGAAGAAATGCAATTACAACACATACTGTGGCGTGGGGAAAGGGGGACAGTGCTTCACAATTCCCCCCATGAGCTAGATTTGCAGGGTCTTATCCAGCTGCTGCTATGACTGAGAAATACTGTATGTCTGAGTAAACAATAATTTTAACCCTATTCTGACACCTGTGGGCAAGCTATTCCCATATGACAAATATTCTAGCAATACTTATGTGAAAATAGCATCTGTGCTTATTTGACTCCAACCTTGTTTCATCCTAACTACTACAAACACAACTTACGCTCCATTTCTACCCTCGCATGGCAGTATGGACTGCAAAGCACAAAAACATTACTGTCTGAATTACTAATTTCTCTCAGAAGCACTGCGAGTTGAAACATCGATTTCTTGAAGCCGATACTGTCTGTGAACAGAAAACTATTCAGTTCACTCATATTTCCTTTGAGTGGAAAGGAATTTTGAGAAACACCAAAGTATGCCTAAAAAAACCATAGCTACAAGTTACACAAGTTTATAGCTACAAGTAAGGAAAAGACAGGAAGTAAGGAATCGTAGGTGATAATTTCCCAGCTGGATTTCACAACTATTTAATAATAAAAGCTTTTTATGTCGGCACGCTGGGCATGTACAACAGCTGGCAAAACAGCACTGTTTGCCATTTTCTTTATAATGGGAAATTAGGGGTAGCTTGTGTGTCACTGGATGTGCATTTCCAAGCAGATGCCATAGATACCAGAAATAGAAAGACAAAGAGAAAGTCAAGGCAGGACAGAGCCCGTGCTCCACTGTAAATTAAGCTCATTGGTGCACATGAAGAGTTGAAAGACCATAGATAATACAGAGCTTTCAGAGTAGCTGAACTCTTATAATTTATTTTTTTTCCTCACAATTCATATAGGACAGGACTGGAATACTGTCCAGAAAAAGAATCAGAGATCTCATTGCACCTTATCCATCATTTCAAGAGTAAGCAATATTTTAATACTACGTTATATTGGGATTTATTTTACAAAGATAATTAGTCTCAGGCTGCTCATTCTGGTTATACCATTTCAAGTAGCTTCAATCCCTAGCTTCTGGTAACAGTCTTAGAACTACAGAGAGCCTATTCTT